AAAGAGTTATACAAAAAGCAGAATTCTATAATGAAACAGAATTATACTTCCCACATGAATAGTAGGCTTTTTTATTTTTTTAAGACTGAAATATTATGTCAGAAATGTATTTTCTTTGCTCTGTGATACAGCTCCCTAGCACGGTGCCCGTGTGTGTGTGTGTGTGTGTGTGTGTGTGTGCGCGCGCGTCCGTGCGCGTGTGCGCGCTTTCTAGATACCATGAGCGATGGATGAAGCTTCCTAACTTTTCTGTTTGCCAATATATCAGTTGTATTCATTGCCTTATTAATTATGGAAACTGTTGTCTTTCTCGGAGCAGCAGTGGTGTTTCTTCTACACAGGCTTCTATTCAATAGGGTTCCGTAAAATTTGACATAGTTCTTTCTTCTTTTTCTTTTTCTTTTTTTTTTTTTTTGTTTTTTTTTTAGTGGAGCCATTTTCTTTGGTTTTGTTTTGATGTTCTGGAGCCTTCCAATTTAATTCGCTTTGCTCTTGTTATTTGATGAACCAGGTAACGCTGCCTAACCTGGTCAGCTTTATACAGACACAGCCGAGGCCTGTGTGGGACTCCAGTGTCCTGGGACGTATGTGCGGGGAAAGACCAGAGATTAAAAGTAGTTTCTAAATGATTAGTCCAGATTAATTGGAATAAAACGGTATTTAAAATGTTTTATCTTCTCATTTTTATTATTTGTACACATAGCAATTATGGAAGAAGCTGATGTACAAATTTATGTGTGTGTACTGGGCAGTATTTCCTTGTAGATACATGAGTGTAAACTAAAGAGAAAGTGAAAAAATGATAACATGTTATTTTCAGTAATTATATTGTGTCTTCTCCCCTCCCACCCAATTCCTCCAATTGTCTCCTAGATTAAAAATAAGTGTTGTTTCTATGGGTGTTTTTATTTGTTAGCTTTCAAGATTTTTTCCCTTTCCCAGCACATACCATGCCCCTCAGGAATAAAAGAAAATAGTAATACATGTCATTTTAATAGTCTTGTAGCATTCAGATGATATGAACTCATTTTGAAGTAAAAGAGAACTGCATCCGGCAAAATTTACACAGCAGTGTATGGGCTTTTAACAGCATTTGCTAGTGCTAACAACATTTTGCCAGTTGCTGGTATTAAGGTGGCAAGAGGCCCATACTAGCAGCGTCCAACGTCCCAAGCTCAGCTGTGTTTCTGCCACTCGGACAGGTTTGTGCACACCTGGGGTCCACCACACCCAGTTGGTACCAGTCAACAGTATCATGTAGTGTGTGTGTGTGTGTGTGTGTGTGCGCTTGTGTGTTTTAAATTCAGTTTTGTATGCTAGCATTCTTTAAATGTCTGCCACAAGTTTAATTTGCATTTCTGATCCCTGAAGGCAGCTAGACAGAATCATTCTAGGTCTTCATAAATTGCCTTCTATGATTCATTGTTAACTCAGAAAACATGCTCATTTCTAGATACTCAAACAGTTACAATATCGCAGATATAATCTTTTTTCATTATATTTAAATTGTCATTTGAGAAAGAAATCAAGAAATAGTTTGAACTCCCAGTTAAGGCATGAGCCCTGTAGCACAAAAAAAAAGTCAGAAATTAATGGGGGGCGGTTTTCACAAGGAGGGCAAGGGAAAATGGCATAGAATCAGGGGCAAAAAGTTTTAGTTTTGACTGAATACTCTCAAAGAGGGGCCCATAAATATTAGAACACTGTAGTTAAAAACTCACATGACTGTTTTAAATACTATTGATTTAAACCACTGGCTAGATTTTATGAATCAAAGTGTAATTTCTAAGCTTTGGCCATATTTCTCAATGCTAAAACACTCTCTCTTGTGTGCCTTTAGCCGCTTTCCAGACATTCAACACAGGATTAAATGATAGTAGTTACAGTGATCAATAGGTTAAGACCGGTACAATCACTCTTGCTGCTAATGACCTCAGTAGTAATGGGCAATAAAGTGTGGGCTCTAATAGCCTCTCGCTGGTACTGCATGCCCTTTGATTCCTAGTATTAGTGGGGACTGGCTACATGAAAAACTTGGACATTGGGAGTTAAGGGAGTGGATATGTAGGCTATAATTTTTAACTATTTAAACCCTTAAACTGTGCCCCCCTCCCTACCCCATAATGCTTTCTGTCCATTTGGGTACGTTTGCTGAAGCTTTCCATAACCTATTTTCATGACATATTGGAGCAGAAACTTTGGGGAAGGAAATCTCAGCTTTAACACATTTATAAATTAAGCTCAAGTCCACTTTGGAGGCTCAGAGCTAACTGCTGTAAAATGTGGTTTCAGATAGTAAAAGCAAAGTTAAGGCCATCAGGATGTAAGAGCCACTTCCGATTATTCGGAGACCGGTCCCCAGGTAGGAGGAGGATCACTCAGGTTCTTGCCTCTTTCTTTCCTTTGGCTGTGCCCGCTGCTTTAAGCATTTTAAAACTCATCAGCACCTCCATCGGAATGTGCAGAGGGAAAAAGGAGAGACCCAAGTTCATTTTTGTTCTGTAACACGACTACAAAAATAGAATAAATAAATATGGGAAAAGGAGATTGAAACTATTGGCTGTACGTAAAGGTTTAAAAATTATCTATATGTCAGCCCTATTTTAACTTTTTAAATTGATTTTATCGAAGTATAATTTACATCCTATAAAATGCTTTCATTTTACCTGCACAGTTGGAAAATTTTGGGGTAATTTTATACAACCTGTGACTACCATCGCAATCAAGATAGAGGGCATTTCCATTAGCCCCCCAAAGTTTTCTTGTACCCCTGTCTAGCATAGGCTTTCCATAGTCTTTTTAAAAATTGTGACCACGATGTTGTGTCTGTGACGACTTCTGTTCTAACACTGTTAATTTGTGTTCATCGCCGGTTTGGATCTACACCACCCTATTCCTGTTCGTTTTCCTGTTCATCACCATCAGAAATTTGGCTCAAGAATATTTACATTGTACATCATCCAAGAAACACAGAGGAAAAAAGAAACCTTAAACATGGCTCTTTTGTTTGCTTAATCAAGCCTCCCTGTGTGATGATGCAACTCTCAAGGAAAAGTAAACTTCTATTGTGATATGTTAGCTTTACAGCTCCAGATAGTGATTGGCACCCAAATACATATTGAAAATTCAAAATGTTTGTTTCTCTGTGGAGACAAAGTAGAGCAACTGGAATTAATTTCTAGATGGTTAGGTATTCTGATAGTGTCTTCTTGGTGTTTGCCCTGGATTAGATTGAGTGGAAGTCCACCGTGAACCATTGTGATATTTTGTGCTTCCAGGTGTCTTTAAAAGGATAATTTATCTATTCATATACCTCTGTCCCTTTTTGCGTGTAAAAATATTCAGACATTCCCATCTGTTTTAAATTACAATGTATATACATCCACACTTGAAAGCCCACTGCAATAGGAAGAATTCGCTGATGACCTTCCAGAGTTGGGTTAATGAAATTTTTCAAATGTTCTGGGTAGTGTTTTCCAAACAATGAAAAACTTGCGCGTAAACATCCTCACACACAAACACGCATGCGACAACAGCGAAGGGTGTTCGCTGTACATGAATCTGACCTTCAGGAACCATTTTTAGTTCATCAAAATTAGTGATGCTGAGAAATCGGGACATCAGTGCATAATGACTGTGAAATTAGGAACGAGAGCTTGCTATGCAAATGACAGGACAAATCATGTGAAAAAGTCAAGATAAACTGCATATTAAGACATTACGTTACATAAAATTAATATTGCATTTCGCTTTTGCTTACTGCTCCCCTGAAAGATTTTTAAATTCTTTTATCTTCTGATCAGCTATTGTCTGCCAGGTTTTTTTAAAGTGGCGCACAGGCAAAGTGCAAAACATGCTATTACCTTTTATTGTAATACATGAGATGACAGCAGATCCGTTCTAACAAAGTATATCCTTTACTGCTTCTTGCTGTCACATGTTTGATTAGAAACCAAAGAAAAGTAAGATGCTTAAATATTACTGTTAGAATACATACGGGTTTTGTCTTTCCTTTTTTGTTTTTTTTCCCTCTTATCTTTTTTATTTGGTGGGGGGCGATTTTTCATGAAACAGTCGTCTTATATTACGGGGACTGACAAAATGGTTCTCATGTAGTCTGCAAATTAGACACAAGTGCAGTGATTATTTTGAATAGCTAAATTACATTCTCGAAAGCTTGCAGAATTCATAGCATTGTCATTAGGTATCCGCTTGAATACAATTTGTGTAACCTTGGCCAAGACAGCCTGTCATTTTAGTGTCAGTGTTTTATCTGAACAAGACGCCATCCTTTCAGATCCTGTGTGCAGGTTCCTTGCAGAGATGCCCGTGCAGAAACGTGTTAACAGTTGCAAATATGAAATGCTATCAAGTTCATCACTGAAGCTGTTTGTCACTGAAATGTCATGGGAAGCAGCTTCACTGGTATCACGCAGAGTCTGAAAGAATTGAGACATCTGTGTGCTGGGTGAATAAGAAAGGGTAAAAGACGTCGTGGGAAGGTCTGTGTTTAAGTTCAGAAGGTGTGTCTGAGGTTCAGTTATCCACAAGGCGAAGCATTCCTGACCGTCCTTAAAATCGAGATCCGCAGAGGAAGCGGACATGTGAGCTCCAGCTGTGGAGGTGCTGGCTCCCCTTTGCCTTCTCTAAAACGAAATGTGTTTGTGTTAACTTCATTGTGACGGAAAACTCATTCTTAATAAGAAATTGGGATCGGTCTCACCAAACTCCAGGCTTGAGTCCTCGTCTGTCTGTAAGACTGCCTGGGACACCTGTCAGTGCTACAGGGTTTTCTTTCCTTTTTATGTTTCTTTTTTACTTAAAATAAACTTCATAGTAGATGCAGTAGGATCTTCGCCGCATCCCCCCGAATAAGTACACTGTGCGTGGGAAATGGGTCAGCTCTGGAGGCAGGCTGGCCACAGCCGTGGACCTGGCGCGGCCGAGTGCCGTGTGCACGCCGTTTCCTGGCTCCCGCTCATCCTGTGTTAACATTGCAGGTGCCCGTGTCAGTGGCTATGATGACACCTCAAGTTATCACTCCCCAGCAGATGCAGCAGATCCTCCAGCAGCAAGTGCTGAGCCCCCAGCAGCTCCAGGTCCTCCTGCAGCAGCAGCAGGCTCTCATGCTCCAGCAGGTAACCGCCCCTCCTCCTGCTCGGTGTCCTGCACACCCGGCCCCACTGCAGTCAGGCCGCCCCCTCCGGGCGGCCGCGCTCCTCCCGCTAGATCGGGCAGAGGGCAGAGGGTGGGCAGCAGGGACTGGGCCCCGAGAACCCGCTGCGTCCACGTGAAGGCAGACCCTGCCGACGCCACAAGGGCTTGGGCCTGGAGAGCACCCGATGGACTGAGATTAGGGCTGTAATTGGACTTGGTAGAAATAAGATCTTTTAGGCTTATGTGGCTTTACATTCTTTTATTCGGTAAGCCCAGAGGCTCCTAAATGGTGTGAATCAAAGCAGAGCGGGGAGCGTGTTGGGAGCAGGTTTAATGGGACAGTTCTTGCAGTCCCTGTTTCAGCTCAGAAGCTTACAGAGTTTTCCTTTGAAGCACAAAGAACCATTTTGGGGTTGGCTGATTGTAAGGCACACAGTTGACTTTGTTTCTCTCACCTGTGCTGATGCCGAAATGAGTTTCTGGCTGCCATTGTACCATGGAGACCTAACCTTCAGACTTCATGGACACCTGAGTGCAAAAGATGAGATTCAGTACTGTAGTGATCGGTGTTGCAGGGTGAGGGGTGGGGACGGCGCAGAGAAGGCTGGCTGCCCACGCTGTTGATGCACGCGCCGGACAGCCTCAGCTCGGCCCAGCCCTGTCATTTAGAAAGCGTGTGCCTGTTTCGCCGGAGAGATTCACCAGACTCTCAGCAAGGGCATTTTGCCTTTGTTGTGCAATCAAAGGTCATCCCTTGCCTTATTTTAATTAGTTTGTGTAGAAAATGGTATGTTTTTCATCAGTTCATTTGGGGGATTACTTTTCAAACAATAATGCCAAGAATAGTCAGTGTGCGCTGAAATTTATTATTGAGTTTCAATCTAAAGGTCAGGCCATTACAGATAAAAGGATGCTATTTTTCAAATCACAGTTTGTGTATGGCACCGAGAGGGACAGTGGACTGGCGTTACCCTCTGACTTACCCTCCTCTCTTTTCTTTGTAGCAGCAGCTTCAAGAGTTTTATAAAAAACAACAGGAGCAGTTGCAGCTTCAACTTTTACAACAACAACATGCTGGAAAACAGCCTAAAGAGGTACCGACAATACATATTTTACTTTCAAACCACAGATCCCAGAGGACTATCTAGTGGCTATTAAACTGTCATTCATCTTTTAAATGATTGCACAACTGAGCTGACTCTATTGGTTCTCAGCTTTCAGACCGAGAGTTATGGTCCTGTTTTCGCACAGGTTTTTCTGGGTTCCGTTTGTTTGCTGACAGGGACATTATAACCGCTGCAAGTGTACCTCGAGTAGGCACTGGGAAGGGGGATCCTGCGTAGAAGCTTCAGGGCTCCTTTGCAAGGTGTTCCTGGGGCAAGTGAAGCGCTTTCAGTAAAATTTGATTTGGATGCACACTCAATTATTTTTTCCAGCTCAGAGAGCTTGGGTGTGTGGTGAGCTTGGACAGACAGAAAGGGCAAGCCCTGGCTGGTGCTGTCTGTGGCATGCACTGGCAGTCAAGGGCGCGTGTACCTGGGCTGCAGGTTCGACCCCCAGTCGGGTGCGTGCAGGAGGCATCCAGTCAGTGTGTATCTCACATTTATGTTTCTCTCTCTCTCCCACTCCCCTTCCACTCTCTCTAAAAAAAAAAAAATCAATGGAAAAAATATCCTTGGGTCAGGATTAGCAAAAAAACAAAGGAAGGGAGTCAGAGCGAGATTAGACACCCACAACCCCGCTTTAATTTTTCACGCAAGTCGTACACATCGAAGTACTAAAGGCAAGTCTGCGATGGCACAAGTTAAGATTAGAGAAGCCTGCAGCTTGGATTAAATGTGTTTCCCTAACAGGCACTAGGGTATCACAGCAGCTTCTGTGTGCACAGTGTTTTGGACGTACACAGAGTTACTGCATGTGGCACCCCACCCAGTTAGGGGACGGTATTAGCTCCACTGAATGGTAAGGCTTGGGGGGTTCACCTCACCTGTACGGCCCCAGGTGCGTGAGGCCCAGTCATTTGTGGGGAGTATCTTTGTGTTTGTGCATTATCATGACATCTTCCTACCTATTCCAGAGCTACCCAATGTAACTCACTTCCTCGTATTTGTACAGGGACTGAAATTCTTTTCATTTAAGTGTTTTCTCCTTGGAATGACATAATTTATAGTTGGATAAATAGCTCACAGTCCAATTTAACACACATTTCTTCCCTGGCCCCAAGCAGGTGTCCACTTTCCCTGGTTCGGGAAGCAGTCTTCCCAGGTGACTCTCCACACTCCTGCCCTTCACCAGAGTGTGGAGGCCGGGAAGCACTAATTTGCACAGTGGGAATGACCCAGCCCTTCTCCCTTTGTGGGTTCCTCCCTTAACACACATTTGGTGCATTTTCCGTGCCCTGTCAAGTTTTCACCCTGGAGTCCTCTTTAGCAGCCTGGCTATAAACCCCTGTAGAGTAGGGGCAGTTTTGGGGTGCAGCGGAGGAGGTGCTTTAATGAAAATGCTGACACATCTGTGTACAGTGGCGTGCTACCGGGTGCTGCTATAATAGAAAAGGGAACAGATTAAAAAGTGTCTAAAATGTAAATCTAAAGGACTAACAGTAATTAAAATGGAAATGGCACAGGGAGGGCAGGCATGTAATTGTGCGATATCACTGTGCGGAAGGCTCCCAGCTTTGTTTTGCTGGCTGTTTTTCTAATTCAGTAGGGCTTACTCATCAGTGGCAGTTCAATGCGCGTTAATGACTCTGGGATTGCAGGCATCACTCTGGACAAAGAAATGATTATTGTGCGGTCAAAAGAAGTTCAAAGACAAGAAGGGAATTTCAGTTTTTTCCTTAGAGATCCACATTCAAGAGCATATAAATTAAGCCAAATGTTAAAAACCACAGTCTGAAAGCTGACTTCAAAGTCACAACTCTCTAATTAATGAACTGCGAGCTTCAGTTTGGACAAGTTGTGGTTTGATGCGCCCATAAATCAACATGACAGGCCTGTTTCACAGCCTCAGACAGTGCTTGTCATTGAGTCACATCAGATGTAAACACAGCAGAGAAAAGAAGGGCTATGAAGGAGGTGCAATTGATCAACAGAATTGGTAAAAACCCACTTTTGAAGCACATTATGCATGATCACAGGAAATGGTTACAGCCTCAAGAGGTTTCCCCTTCTGCTGTTGCTTTTTTGAATCAGATTTCTAACAGCCTTCAAAAGGGAGCATAAGAATTATGGAGTTTCTCCCCCGTGGCTCGCAGGCAATAACCCCCTGTTGTTATTTTGTGCTTCTTTCTTTTCAAAGGCATCAAAATTTAGTTTTTTAAAGATCTTTAACTCTATATTTGAAGACAAACAAAAAAGGGCTGCCACTGTCATTCTTATCAGTTACCAGGGACTGAGCTTTCCTCTCTGTTGCCGCTTCTGATTAACCTCTTGCTGGGTCCGCGAGGCGTGGTTTGGAATGTTGGTCTGCGTGCTGGGGGCCGTGGAAGTTCAGATGCTACCCGAGGGCAGGGAGAGAAGTCAGAAGGATAACAGTTAACTCTCCCAGGCGGCTGCTGTCGGAGGGACGCCTTGGCCTGCAGAGGTGCTGCTGGTGTCTTGGTGTCTGAGTGCGGGGAGGGAGCATGTGGTTTCCGAGCAAGGGGTGAGGCGTTCCGTTCAGCGTCTCCAGGACGGTAGGCTTGCAGGGGCCACGCCTTGTCCTCTGTTTGGAAGGCAAAGGTGGCACAGGAGGTGTGTTGCCTGGACATCCTGGGGGTAGGCGGGCCCACGGGCAGGTCTCGAGTTCTAGGATATGTCCGCAGAGCCGGGGGATTTGGCCAGGACCTGTTGTATCAGTGACTGAGAGATCCGTGGTTCCCTGAGGTGGTCTCCTGAAATTAGCATGCAGGTGGTGTCCTCTGCGCTACAATGAAATTGAGTCACATGGTATCAATTTCATGATGTGGACTGGTGGTTATGACTTGAACAAGGTTTGAACTTGGATGTTGACAGATGGAACAAGTATATTAATTTACTGAATCCCCAGTCATTAGTGGCTCATAATTTTGAATTGTCAGGCCCTCTTCCCCTCCCCCCCTTCCTGTTTTGATTACCTTTGCTGTAAGTCGCTTGGCCAGAACAGTGAACCTTTACTCGCTTTTTTTCCTGGTTACCTCAAAGGTGTTTCCTTGAGAAAGGTAGTCCACACTGAGTTAGGCCTAAGGCCTTCCTTAGGAGATAGATGGATACTCTGCAGGCCCACACTGCTGGCTATTTAAGCCACTGCTCACAGAATGGGTGTGGATAATAGAAGGCAGAATTAATAGTCAAGCCACAAACAAAGTTCCCATCCTGTGTGGGTGAGGTAGGCCAAGTTGATTGTTTTAAAAGGGCCTTTTGTCCCAGGCAGTTATGACAGTTTATGTTAGGCAGTAGGGCGGAGCCGAGGAAAGGAAAACAGACCTTTGACTGCAGCTCCAGGGAGGGGATCCGAAATGCACGGTTTATCAGGGCTTTTGAGCATTTTAACACTGACTACTGACCTGTCGAGGGGACTGCACGGAGACCTTTTTTGTGTGCATTCAATTGTGAGAAGTAAACAAATGGGCTCGTATCCTGTGTTTGGTAACTGGGTGGGGAGCAGTTTGGCAACCAGTGTTGCTTTTAAATTCTTTCTTTGGACAATGGGCCTTGTATACTTTTATATCCTGGCTTCTCAAATGTGGACAGCTTTCATGAGCTTTCCTCGGGATGGCTACAGTGACAACAGAAAAGCCATCAGTCATTTTATATAAATACAGAATTTTTAAACATTTCATTTACAGTAAGACAGGAAACACCCTCCCTAAACTCCAGCACCCCGTTCCTTTCTTCAAGAGGAGCTAGAGCCCCGGTCTTTCAATGTATCAGTGTTGGTTTTTGTCTTCCTCCCCCCTCTTTTTTTTTAAAAAAAACACCATGAATTAATATCTGTTGAAGGAGTGGGAAATCATTTTAACGTGAATATAACTATCATTGGGTTTCATATTAATGTGATAACTTGGGAAGGGGTGAAAACAATTGGATCATTTTGAGCATGCTGTTCTTAAAATGAAAACACTGGCTTTTCATTTAAATTTATTTAAATTTTTGTTGTTAGTGATATAGAATTTGTTTTTTGGAGTGAAACTCAATTAACTTTCTCAGTGGCATGGTAGTGAGTCTGAAATTGGTTGCTAATATGAGAATGGTGGTTTTTTACTGTAAGATAAACCACGTGGAGATGGAAAGGAAGCCGCCACCTTCCTTTTCCTTTGAACTCGGCATCTAGAAGGTCCTGATCCACACACACTTCATGGGTGTTTCGGATCAAGGTCATGCCTTAGGTTAAGTGAATGCAGTTGTTTGTAAAGTGGAATCATCAGAAGCTCTCGTGGGCTGTGTAGTCCTTTTAGTTGCAGAGACTCCCCGATACTTTGAGTAATACTTTAGAGTTGGGAAAATGGATCTTGTTCTTTCCCCAAGTAATCTTTTTCGGGACTGCAGTTTGGGAAGGGTTAATTTTCCCTTCCGAACTGTTAGCCGTGATGTGGCGGAGACCTCCACCTCGGTCTGATTCCTCGCAGATTAAGGATATGAGATAATTTCCCCCTATTTTTGTTCTGCTGCACTGTATTATCTTTCTATCACTCAGATAATTACTGAGGAAATCTACATTAATTTTTTTGGCTAGAGCAAGGCCTGCTAAACACAGGAATGATGTATTGATGTTTTACACAACAAAAGTTTTCCTCCTGTCATTGTCCAATCAACAAAAAGGTATTTATCAAACGGTAAAGCCCCTTCTTTCCAAGACCAAAGCCCCTGGAAGGGGTGAGGGTTTCTGAAACTCCAGCCAAGTGGAGGCATCTGAAGCCCACAGTGTCTCCGTATGAGACACAGTTGAGTACGGTGTTGTTTGCTAAATTATGAATGTGTGTAATTAAAATCTAGTGGCTGTTTCTATGAAAGATTTACAATGTTATTTCATCATTTGTCATGGCTAATTAACAATATTAGATGAAGTTTTTCTTCTTCAAAGGTCTGATTTTTTCTCATCTATTTATGTCAGGAGTGATAAACAGAGTAGTTAAGAGCTTGCCCCAATGTGCGGGAGGAAGGCAGCCGGCCCGCCGCGCCTCAGAGGGCCAGGGGTCAGGCCCCTCCACGCGGCGTGTCCAGCGTCCTTTCCGGCGGGTGCCCCCGAAGCTCCCAGGCCGAGGCCCCACGCCGACCGCCGGCCCAGGCCTCCCCCGCTGCGGGAGGAGCTGCCTCCTGCGGAG